TCATCATCATCATCATCATCATCATCATCATCATCATCATCATCATCATCATCATCATCATCATCATCATCATCATCATCATCATCATCATCATCATCATCATCATCATCATCATCATCATCATCATCATCATCATCATCATCATCATCATCATCATCATCATCATCATCATCATCATCATCATCAATGATATAATCCTATCATTGCACCCACCTTTCTCTGCCAGCACCTTGACGACGGCGCACGTCCCTGCCAGCGGCAGCGCAGTCAGGTCGTACCGCACACCTGCGGAGGTATGCGCAGACGAGGGCACACGTGTGGGCGGTCAACAGCCTGATTGCGGGCCATGTGGCGGGGTCGTGCATGTGCATTTGAAGGAGCTGGCAGCATGTGAACGCTGAAACAGCACTCAGCCCCCCTGATAAAGTTGTTATGGTACCACAGCACTCAAACCCGCATGAACTGGTCTGGTGTGATTACGCTCGCAAGGTGTGGTGGGGCCGGCGAACGAGCCCGTAGCAGCCGCCTCGCGGGCCCACAAAAGCCCGCCGTTTGGCGCGGCCAATGCGCGTGTGCCACGCAGCCCCTCTCTTGCCCGCCCCGGGGTCCAACCAAGTCGCCCACCAACCCACCTTTCAGGTCAAGCTGCACTGGCACCACCACTGCCTTGTCATCTTCCACCCGCTCGTCCTCGTCCCCCTCTCCCTCCTCCTCGTCATCTTCGCTATCGTCGCCGCTGCCCTCTTCCATGGCCGCGCTGCGCAGCATCTTGCCAGCTGCCACCATGATCCGCGCCCTGCCGCCCCTGCCGCCGCCGCCCGCCCCGCCGGCCTCGACCCTCCCGACCACCCCCACGTCTCCGACCACGTCGAAGCTGCCGGGCAGCTCCACGAGCAGCTGCCGCGCGGCCGCGGCGGGGCGGCACGCATCGGTGGCGACGGCGCGGGGCATCATCACCGCCACATCTCCCGGAAGCAGCGGTGCGTAATCGACAGCCGCCGCCTCTTCAATCGTGACCGCCCGCGGCTTGACACCGGCGGCGCGTCCGGCAGCCGCGGCGGCGTTCATCCTTTTCGCACCCACGGCGGCTCGCGTTGCTGGGACTCGCGCCGCATTCCCCGGCCGTGCGCTTCTGCCACGGGCTGCACGGCAGCGGCCGCCCTCTGATGAGTCGCCGCTCCCCTCGGAGGTCCTGCCACCCTCAGACTCCTCGCCACCGCGGCGGCCGCCGGCCCTGTGGGCCGCAGCGCCCTCGTCCCCTGCGCTCCAGAGGCTGCCGCTGCCTGCTGTCGCGCCGCCGCTGGTGTCCTCCCCCTCGTCATCGCTGCTTTCGCCGCCCTCACCCTCCTCCCCGAATCCCTGCTGCCGCTCTGCGCGATCCGGCACACCCTCCTCCGTTTCCTCGTATCCCACCTCCTGACCTTTCCCCTCTGTTCGTGCCTCATCACTCGCTGCCGACTCGTCCTCATGCGCCTCAACCATCTCATCCACCTCCTCCTCGACATCGCTGGTTTCCTCAGGCTCACCCCACAACGACAGGCGCCCACCCATCGCCGCCGCCGCGACCGAGACAGCCCCGCCTGCTGCCCTTGATCGCTCCAAGCTGCCCTCCCCGCCGCCGCCCTTGATCCCTGCCGCCGCGTTGAGGCCTCGCCGCCCCTCGCCTGCCGATGTGTGCGGCGCCGCCGCCGCTGCCGCCGGCCCCCGGGCCGGCGG